TTCAGACTTACCACTGAGCCACTAAGGCACGAATATTGTGGAGACAGATTTTAAGAGGAAATTAATAAACCTTTTGGAACTATGAAAACTTAATCATAAAACAGTTGAATCATAAAACATTGGAATGCTGCAAATAGTTGTATTCTAAATTGAAAAACAAAACTATGAATGCCACCATACTAAATATTCTATATAATTTTTAGAAAAGTATTCGCACACAACATGCAGCTAAAAAACCTCCTACAAGACAAACTGCTCTTTCCTCGAAACAATGACAGTTACTGATCCATATGTTATTTTTATTTATCATACAGAGTGATATAAAAATTCCATGTTTAAAATAATTATATATTAAAAACTACTTGTTCTACAGAAATACAACAGCTCCAGAGGCACGATGAGAATCACAAAGTCTGGACATGGTACACGTCATTTTACGTCATATTATACAGAATAAATAGATCTGTTTTTCTTCTTGCAAACTCACGTTTAAGAACATTACCTCCCAACAAGACGAGGAAACCCTTCATACGTATTTTCTCATGAACAGACTTCTAACAAACACTTTAACTAAAAACAGGATAGCGACCGGTTCATTCAAGAAGAAATGGTTAGCGAAAGTCCAAGATATCGAACCAGCAGACTGTTAGTTGTGGGATTTCCTTAACGTGTATGTTCCCTAGGCACCAACAGGCTGTAGGCAGTGGGGTTTCCTCAAAGGCATGTCTCCCAAGCACCAGCATATTGTTGGCTGTGAAGTTTACTCAAAGGGAATGTCTTCCAGCCACCAGCAGGCTGTTGGCTGTGAAGTTTCCTCAAAGGAATGTCTCCCAAGCACCAGCATATTGTTGGCTGTGAAGTTTACTCAAAGGGAATGTCTTCCAGCCACCAGCAGGCTGTTGGTTGTAAAGTTTACTCAAAGGGAAGGTTCCAAGAGACCATCATATTGGTGGCTGTGAATATCCTTCGAAGGAAATGTCTCCTGGGAACCAGAAGACTGTTAGCTGTGGGGCTTTTTTCAAAGAGAATGTTTCCCGGGCGCCAGCAGACTGTTGATTGTGTTTTTTTTTTCAAATGGAATATCTCCTGGGCGCCAGCAGACTGTTGGTTGTGTTTTTTTTTCAAATGGAATATCTCCTGGGCGCCAGCAGGCTGTTGGTTGTGTTTTTTTTTCAAATGGAATGTCTCCCACCCACCAGCATAATGTTGCCTGTGAGTTTTCTAAAAACGAATGTCTCCCTGGCACTAGCAGACTATTGGTTGTGAGGTTTCTTCAAGAAGATTGTCTTCCAAGCACCTGCAAATTGTTGGCAGTGGGATTTTCTCCCAGAATAGCCTGCAAAATTATCTGAAAACGGTCATTAGGAATGAGGTTGCTAGAATTAATGATGTTTGCACTTGTAGTAGTTTCATTTAGGGTCATGCTTGACGTGCTGATTGAAAAATACAGAAAGCTTATTGAACATCTTCTATGGCCGTCTTTATACACCTTCTAGCCTATGTGGACTCCTAGCAACATGAAAGGTGAAATTCTACATGTATGCAGTACAAGAAATTCATTAATACAGTGCAAAACATTTAAACGCTGGGAATTTGTGCAAGGTACAAGATGGAGTTGAAATGGTATCTTACACGCCTCTGATTTTAAATCTGAAGTGGTATAATCAAAATAAATTGCATGTAGATTTGTGTTTAACAATCAAACAAACAAACAAACCTATACTTCTGTTTTAATAAGTGTTAATATCCAGATATCATCAATACATAATATACTCATTTTTAACACAGTGGTGAAATTCTCCTTAGATATGTACAGGTTTGGCTTTGATAAAGTATAGAATATCAGATTTCATGCACTATTCGAACTGAACTACCAGTATATACAAAAATGAACGGAACTCTGTACAATCTCTATACTGTGACTCGTGCTTTGGTTTTATTCACATCTATTCTCTATGTGCTGCGCTCTTGGTTATTGACCTGTTTCTTGCTTTATATTTTACAGACAGGGTTATTATAAAATTATTTAGCCTATTCTAACGTCCATACCCCCAAAAATAACCATCATAAAAGTATGATATTTGGCAGAATAAGTAATGAGACGATGATAAAGACGATTACTGTGCCAAAAATAGTGATCACTGAGAGAGTTGACCAAGAAATCTGTATACTAGGACCTATATAGAACTAGTATCAGACATGCCACAATCTATTCTGCCTTTAGAAATGACTCCTGAATTATTAATAAGAACTCTGGAAGATAGTAAAGAAGCAATGTATAATAATATGTCATCAACACTAAATATGCATTATTCAATGACGACAAGACTTTTCGTGCAATAGCAGGGCCTGCTGGAATACGACAGACATAGTATTAGTTGAGACGTTATTTATACTAGCATTACTAAAGTAATGGTAATAGCACTGGTGCTGCATTAAGATTATATTGACGTGGAAGCAGGGAATGAAGACGATCACAAGGCTTACCGGAAGTTCATAAAAATTGGCTTGGTGCTGATGTAACTCGTAATGATACTCACAATACTCACTGAAGTGTTGTGGTGGAAGTTAGACAAACGACGATTGTTACGCTGCCAGACACACCAGACTCCTACAATCAACAACCTGGAAGATCATGAGTAAGGCACTGAGCATGTATCGCTACAGGTTACAGATCACCTTTCAACTGCTGCTAAGCACACCAGACTCCTACAATCAACAACCTGGAAGGTCGTGGGTAAGGCACTGAGCCTGTATCGCTACAGGTTATAGATCACCTTTCAACTGCTGCTAAGCACACCAGACTCCTACAATCAACAACCTGGAAGATCGTGAGTAAGGCACTGAGCCTGTATCGCTACAAGCAGCAGTTGAAAGGTGATCTGTAACCGGAGGTGCACATGAGCTTTTAGACTTTGAACTATGATTTAGCGATTCCTAGGAATGATAAGACTTACTTTTCTCTCTATGGCCAGGTCAACACTTGCGTATGTACAATCTGAAGAAAAGCAATCCACATGGCTTTAAGGGATTTAGAAACAAGCGGATCAAACAATTTTCACGCACATGGCAGCATGGTATCCATATTTCTCCCCTGATGATTTTTGGCTATATGATCACCTCAAGTTACTGATTTACGATGACGCATCAATTACCTTGACAGTTTATTTTACAATGCACTTTATTCTACCTTGACAGATCTGTTTGTTTGTTTGTTTGTAATTAAGCACAAAGCTACACAATGGGCTATCTGTGCTCTGCCCACCACGGGTATCGAAACCCGGATTCTAGCGTTGTAAGTCCGCAGACATACCGCTGTGCCACTGGGGGGCGACAGACCTGAAAGATATCATACAACTCCAAGTAACGTAGTAAATCAGACATTATCGTAAAGCTGTATCAAGTTCTCTTTCAGCCCCCCAGTGGCTCAGCGGTATGTCTGCGGACTTACAACGCTAGAATCCGGGTTTCGATACCCGTGGTGGGCAGAGCACAGATAGCCCTTTGTGTAGCTTTGTGCTTCATTAAAAACAAACAAACAAATAAGTTCTCTTTCAAATGCAAGCAATAGTGGACATGAGTGATGGTCACATTTAATACTGTTAACATGTCGGGAGTGCAAGTTTCGCGATGCACGCATTCTGGTGGTGTTTTTTTGGCACTGGAATCGATTTTGACATTGTCGCATTACATCATTTACCAAATTGTATAGCTTTACGTTGCTTACTTTCCGAACTATTGAATTAGAGTAGGCCAACATCCATAATAATAATGTATATAAATTAAGATCAATAGCTAAAATTTTTAAGTTATGAGAAAATCTGAAACGTCAGTGAGTTAAGTATGAATTTAATTCTAATACTAGTTACTCTGTGTGACAGTAATTAATTTCCAGTTTTGAAGAAGTATTATAGTTGGGCTTGGTTTGAATTTCCCCAAAGCTATATGAGGTCTATCAGCGCTAACTGTCCCTAAATTCGCAGTGATAGACTAGAGGGAAGACAACTAGTCATCACCACCCACCGCCAACTCTTGTGCTACTTTTTTGCCAACGAATAGTGTAATTGGCCGTCACAATATAATCCATGTTCAGTGACGGGGATTCGAACTCACGACTTGCAGCCTAAGTATTATAGACAAAGGCAAACTGTAATTTTGGTAAACTTTAGTTTTATAGCCCATAAAACATTTTTTCTACCTCTTGGGTACATAAAAGTGAAGTTGTTGATATTTCTAATTTTAGTATACACACTCTTTTGTTCTGACCAAAAATGGCGAAATACTATAACTAATTCAAACGTAGGTAAAACAAAGGCATTGGGGAATTGTTTTCATTTGACACACTTAGTTCTTATATTGATCAGAAATAAAAAAACTACATCATACATGATCAATACAATAACAGCCTTGAATATATATTTTTGCACTTCAAATATTTATTCCAAAGTTACACTTGTGTTCAGCAACCGGACCAGTTTTTGATCTGTGTATTAGGAACTGGTACCGTGATGTCTTCAAAGCGAATCTGCTATTAAAAGGCTAGATGAGCTGTTCTGGTACCATTTCAATACCTTGCATGTCTCATCTCCGTTAATTTAATTACTTATAATTACTAATTACTAATAATTACTAATTACTAATAAGCTAGTGCTTATTACTCGCATCAAATGTGAAATATTGATTTTTGGGGTGAAACACGCAGCAGTAATATACGTTGAGGAGCTTCAAAGCATAATTCAGTATTCAAATTCTTTATTTAGAACTTGCCCTTTTTGATACATTATTTGTTTTCGAAGGGGGGGTAGTATATATATATATATACTCCATAAGAAATTATGTATTGTTTTTATTCTTTTATACCAGTTGAAATTTCCTACATGGTTGACCCCTCTATTGATAGGTAAACAGTTAAAATTAATTTAATGCGGTTAGAGACATATAGAATATTTGAACAAGAAAAAGGTTTTGCTATTGGAAATCGAACAAAGACACAAACTTACACTGGCCAGTTGGTCAAATCTCCCAAAAAGTTCATTCAGCAACCGAACTAGTTCTTGGGCTGTGCATTGGGAAGCTAGGACAGTAAAACCCACGATGTCTGCAAACAAAATGCTGTTTGGGAAATAAAAAACAGAACTAATTACCATTAACAGTAATGATATACAGTATAAATATAAAAGGAACGTTATAAACGTTACAAATATGATTATGTACGAGTCAAGCATTATAACTTATTTTGAAACACCAAATACAAGTTAATTTAATACAAATATATGCAAAAATACTACAACTAATGAAAAATAAATGCAAGGAATCCGATTATATGAAACAGAGATCATGGAAAGTGTCTTCACTAAAAGAAAAAATATTATTGCAGGATTATGTTGTACAGCTTTCAATTTGTAACTGGTGCTATGAATTTAAATAAAAAGTCATGTTGGTATTCTAACTGATCCTAGAAATGCGCCATATTGAATAAATAGGTTAGGCTTATTCGTCATCCGTTAATACTACGTCTTACAAGCTTGTTCTTCTTTACAGAAAAAGGTGAGTGTCCTTGAATTGATATATTCATTATTTATCGAGTCAAACCAGTTTGTTTTGTTGTTACAGCAAAACTATATTTATTTTCCGTTAATTTCCCAAGAGAGTCACAAGCTTAGTGTTTAAGAATAAAAAAAAATCGATATAGGTATTATCAAAAATGTACACTAAACTGCCATATTATCATAAAGGAAATTGTGTACCAATGCACAACTTTAAACTCATAAATTTGTGCGGGCGATGTAGCAAATAATGAACTATAAATCTGATTCCAAACAACAAAATAAACAAGTATGTATATATTATTAGTTATATATAAAACTATATACCTCTTCATAACTGTAAAATCGTTACAATACTGGAGACTAAAGGATTTGTGATATTTTTGAAACATGTAAAATTATGATTGGTTTTCATGTGACGTCATACCATTGATTTTGTGTTTTGAATTTCGCGCAAAGATACACGAGGGCTATCTGCGCTAGCCGTCCTTAACTTAGCAGTGCCTTACTAGAGGTAAAGCAGCTAGTCATCACCACCCACCGCCAACTCTTGGGCTACTCTTTTACCACCGAATAGTGGGATTGACCGTCACATTATAACGCCACACGGCTGAAAGGGCGAGCATGTTTGGTGTGACGGGGATTCGAACCCGGGACCCTGAGATTGCGAGTCGAGCGCCTTAACCACCTGACCATGCCGCGCCAATACCATTGAGTGATTACTCTTTAGCTGCATTGTAATGGTTTTGATTTTTTGTTGTTGAAACGCCAAATTTCTGTGTTAAAGTATTGATAAAATAAGCCTCCGTATGTCTATTATTATCAAAGCTTCTTGAACCAGAAAGAGATGAAAATATTTTGCATATTTGGAATTTTTTATTTCTCAGTATTATATCCAGCAACTGCCGAATCAAAATATTAATTCTTTGAATACAAAACACTCATTCTAGCAGATTCATATCAATAACAATACGGAATTAAAGTCGTTACAAGTCCACAATGCACCAACTACTAAAGCTAACTATTGACTCATCTGATCTTTGATACAACTTCAGTAATATTTAACACGGTATTTACTATAGTTAATAATTTCTTATTACCCACACAAAAACAACTTTCAAAGATCACAGTCATTAACATTATTTTATACTGTAGACTAATATATGATTTTTATTCAAGACTTTGATAGGGGCGGAACATCTTTGAATTTGGGGAACACTTACTTGCTATGTTAACCAAGACTATTGAATGCAAAACTGAAACAGCGATTTTTCCCTAATCTCTATGCACAAGTCTTTATTCCAAATTCAAAGAGGCACTTTGCTACCAGGTCAGAATTGGGGGCATGTGCCCTCTTGACGCTCCATCGCTTACGACTCCTTTAACGAGTGTGAAAAAGTAAAATATCTGTTTAGGCGACACATATAATACCAGAAACTCTGTAATGGCCAATGTTAACTGCTACATGTATGTACGTGTAATATGTAAAGAGTGTGTTTGTCTCTTATTTTAATATCACTGTGAGGACAGACTGCAGAACAAATTTGAATTTTTAGGGGGGGGGCACGATTAAAAGCACCTTATTTGCTATGTTGAAATAGCAACTTTCCGTCAAAATTATACACCAGCTTTTATTCTCTATTCAAAAGGACATTTCGCTACTGGCTCAGAAGTTGAGGGCAAATGTCCCCAGTGCATCCTGGTTCGTGTTGATATTGTAAGAAAGTGTTCATTGTTTGATACATAGACATTAATCAGCAATCCCCATTACATAATAATAAATTACTGAATCATAGAACATAAGAAAGTTCTTAACTTATGAGGGACACTTTACTCTCGACTGCAGGGCAGAAAGAAGAACTTTCACTCACTTGAAACAAAACTTATAAAGAAAGAGAGATTTCAAGGATGAGAGGAATTATGTCTTCGGTCATGAAGTCTGTGAAAACGTAAATAATAATACAATCAAGTTAATTTACTTTCAAAGTATTTTCAATCATTGAATCGAGTAAATTGTAATTATTGCTCTACACTTCCTAAAGCTAATTACTGGAATTTTGGTGAGCGTAATCGCAGATCATACAAAGAAACATTAACATACATTTCTTACAGCAAGTAGGCTTTGCTTTAGAACATTATAATTTCTATAAATGATCTTTTTTTTTCCGTTGTGTATAATTGATTTTTGAATTTCACGCAAAGCTACACGAGCGCCATCGGAACTAGCCGATCCTAATTTAGAAGTCAGAGACTTGATGAAAGACAGTCAACATCATCCACTCCCACTCTTGGTCTACCCTTCTATCAACGAAAAGTGGGATTGACTATCACATTATAACGCCCCCACGGCTGAAAGAGCAAGCATGTTCGGTGAGGGGAGTCAACAAATTGGAGTCAACTGCAATAGTCATCAGATCATGTCCATGTGAGGTAACGTTTTGTACAAAGACGTTCTTCATTAAAGGAGGTTTATATAGATTTGAAACTTGCTAGTTTTTTTTATTAATCTTAGAATTACAAAAAAGTGATATACCAATTTATCTACTTTATTGTCTAAAACGTACTAGTTTCAGAACATGTAGTTAGAGGGAATTAAAGGAAATATAATTTCCGATTTATTGAGCAATGGCAAAGATACCCGGCATTGGGTGAGGGCCGCCTCTTCCAGTATTTTCAGCCGAAGCACAAGAACCGTTCTTCAGAAGTACTCGTGCTACGCGCGGTATTAAACGTCACTTTCGTTAGGCGTCGACTTTACGTGTTTGAAGTTCGAAGCATTCATTCGATTGGTTACCTGTTTAAAATCTGTCCTTGGGGAGTTCATCTGAGCTCAGCCATTTTTTCGCAACTGGTTGTGGCGTCAGAACACCAGATTAAAAGCCATTTTATAATTGTAAGCATTTTGGGCATTTCTATTTTACGTCATTTGAGAGAAAAATAGTTTTGAACAAATAAAAGAGTAGAGGGGTAAATATTTATTGAACTAATGTTTTATCTCACACATCTGAAACTTTCAAAGCTGATTTTATATAAATTTAAAGGACTTCAAAAATACATACACTTAATACAGTATTATTAGTGATTTCCCAAAGTTATTCATGGTTTACTTGTGGGTTAACCCAACAGTTTTTTTACCGTCAGTTCGTTTCATTTATTAATAATTGTTTTTGAATTTCGTGCAAAGCTCACGAGGGCTATCTGTGCTAGCCGTTCCTAATTTAGCAGTGTAAGACTAGAGGGAAGGCAGCTAGTCATCACCACCCACCGCCAACTCTTGGGCTACTCTTTTACCATCGAATAGTGGGATTGACCGTCACATTATAACGCCCCCACGGCTAAAAGGGCGAGCAAGTTTGGTGTGACGGGGATTCGAACCCGCGACCCACAGACTGCGAGTCGAGCGTCCTAACCACCTGGCCATGCCGGGCCATTTATTAATAACTACGTAAAGAAACATTTCGCTGAAATACGTTTTGTGTCTTCATAGCTACTTGAAGAGATTTTTGCTTCATCATATTCCTTTTAATCTATTAATTTCTCGTGGTTTTCATACATCTGTGCATGTGGTTTTACGTTTGAATTACTGATATATCTGTTTAAATATTTTCTTGAACTTTTTTTATAGACAATAACAATTAATTATGTATCATTTTAGGTTTTTTCTAAGGTGTTTACCTCAGGTACTGATTTATAAATGTCGGAACTTGCTTACTTATCAATATTATCAGATAGGGACTATACATATACGTCAAGCCAGAGACAGTTTTTCATAAGAAACCAATGCTGTCTTTTAGCTATGTTTACATTTCATTTCTCGTTTCATAAACTGTTTTCGTCCTGAGAGTCATCATCTACATTCAAGTTATCTTCAGAATTGTTTTCACTGAGAGCATCATTTTCGCTAATGATACCTTATTATTGTGACTCTCTTTATGAGCGATGTCATCCTTGGTGAATGTTCATCCATTTCACTCATACATTTGTCGGGAGTTAAATGTTAAACTCAGAGTAATTTTCCTCATGAAAGTTTACAGTGTGTATTATTAGTTTCGATAACTTGGTGAATTTTCTACCATATAGCAAACGCTTAGTGATTATCATACCCAAGTACATTAAGATACATAGAAACATCACACTGATGCTTGTTAGTAATGCAGTAGTAATTATGTGTTATATCCGAGAAACGATTTAGTTTTATAAATAACTCATTAGAATTAGCGTTGTCGAATAACTCTTGAGCATCCTACGAGTATATCACAAATTTTATAGGTGTGCAAAACAACACACATTTTTTTTGATCAGTCATTTGATGTTATTTTAAGCAAAATTAGTATTTTCCTAATACTTTGCTAAAATGTAGATCATCTTTATTTTCATTCTCTCAAACATTTTGTAATAAAAGACAAAAAAAAAGTTAAGTACAGACTGAAAGAAGATGATAAAAACCATTCCTTTGAAGTTATAGATATATTCTAGCAAGCTTGGTATTTTCAGTCCTCCCCGTGGTTATAGAGGACCCAGGCTTTGGTCCACTGCGCTGTTGTTCCTGGACATATTTATATTTTT